AATCTAGCTAACAATATTTCTAGCATAACATTAAAAGCTTGTGGAATCGTGTTTCCTTACATTCCAAGAGGATTTACATATGAAGTTATTTTCTCTGTTATAGAACGTTTTTCATTAGTTAATTCATTTATTTTTTTATCTTTTTAGCTACCTCACATCCTTTTTAGCTGACTGGGTTTTTTCTCAGCAATTAACACATTTATTTGCATGTATGTTTTCATTTGTCCATGAACATGAATGATTATTTTGTCTACTTTATGTAATACGTCAGTCATCTTCGAATCAACGGAGCGATATGGAGCACTGTTTAACGAAATAATCGAAATGGGCATTCGCCGTGCCGTAATCACGAATTTTATAATGACTGGTAACGAGCATTACATTACAACGTTCAGTTCAAATCATTCGCCGCACGACTTAGCAAATGATTGTATGGTTTATTTTAAAACGAAATTAAACATTTGGAAGCATTTGTAAAAGGTTTTTGAAATTGTTATAGTAAACTCTATTAAAGTTTGATTTGTACTGGATTGACGTTTGTCTACACTTTATCCTAAATATGTTTCTATAGTTTAAATTTAAATAGGAAAGTCTAATGGCGGTTTTCCACTAAACGGACAAAACAAGAACAAAACAGAAACTCGTGTCGAAAAAAAACAAAACTGCAACTTTTCGCAAACTTTTTGAAGACTGGCGTGTTTTGGGACAGATGGAATTTTGTTTATCGAGTCCCGCTCGAAAGCGGTAAGATCAAAAGGTTTCGACGTGTTTGTTTACTGGAAACGATCGTGTTGTATAGTCTAAATTTTGAACCAAATTGGTAAAAAAATTGGTAAATAAATAAAATATTTTTTTTTATAGATATGTAATTATTAAAAGTAATTAATTTTTAAATGCTGGATAAATTTATATAAGTATGTTTAGTAGTATAGTCCAAATTTGTAAGGGTGGTAGTTCGCATAATTTGAGAGCGATTGGCAGATTTCATTTTTCTAAAAAAATTATAATAAATAAAATAGAGCCATTATAAAAAAAATCAAAGAGCACGTAACGCAATAGTCCTCAAAAACAGATGCGATTTGCAATTTTGTCGATTCTAAGCGTAGCGCGCGCGAGTCTAAGCGATCCCATTGCTGTGCAGGACCGTACCTGTTTATAATTTGTAATTATTTTTATTTTAAATATTTTGGAAAAATGAAATCTGCGAATCGGTCTCAAATTATGCGAACTACCACCCCTACAAATTTGGACGCCAAGTTCGGAAACACCCTGTATATCTGTATGTCAGAGCCACACTAGGTTAAGTACAAATATTGTACTGTTTAGGTTTTTATGATGTCATATACATCTTTTAAACTACTTTTATATATATTTTGAAATAGGACCTATCTTAAAAAATAAATAGGTATTACAAATATAAATAATATATTGAAAAAATGTGTTCTGACTTCCTCCCGACAAGCAGTGGAAAAAACTGGAACTGGAACAAAATGTAGTCCGCTTCATGGAAACAAAAGTTTTGGGTTTGTCTTAGTTTTGTTTCTCAAGTCCCAGAAAACACAAACAAAACATAAAATCAACTGTCCGTTTAGTGGAAAACCGTCTTAAGACAGAAAATTCATTGTTATTTTAAGACTACTATTTAAAAAATAATGAATTAAAAAAAAAAACTGGAAGAATTTTCTACCTTTGATAAGCATTAAATTAAATAAAAAATGTTAGGAATAATAAATAATGCTTGGTTTGTAAAACCCTGCTAATTGATACCTAGAGATATTATGTAATTTGCAATTTCATTTTAAATTCCGGATATTCAAGTATATAATTTAAAATTTCGAGCACCAATGATACAAATATTTAATTCGAAAAAAAAAAAATTGATCATGTAGCGAAATTGTTTGTGCAATTCTACTGTTATTAAAAGGCAGAAAAAAGTATGAAAAAACTATTACTTTTTGTAGGTCACCATTTACGTTTCTTCGTTTCCAATAAGGTTTAAATTAAATAGCTAAAAATTAAGAAATAGTTAAATTTTAATTTATACCTGTGTCCTATAATAGCATTCATTATGGTCATATTCTAATCTTTTATTCTTTTCATAATATTTTTATGAAGATAGGGAAATTCAATAGGAAAATCTTCTGATATTCTGATACAAATATTAACTAATTTTAAATATAAAGTAGCTATTTATGCAATCAGTTACGAAATGCCTTATTTTATGTAACGAGTGAATATTTGCGGGACGAGCAGAGCGAGGTCCCGCAACATGAACGAGTTACATAAAACGGCATTTCGTAACGTGTTACATACAATATATCTTTTAATTTTGATTAGATTATTTATAAAATAGGCCGGATAGTTAAAGCCAGTTCATAGAGCGCTAGAAGAGCTTCAGTTTTAGATATAAATTAATGTTAAATAGGTCAATATGTAGACGGCGCTGCGCTCAATGTTTTTTGTTCGATGGGAGAATCTTTCTTATATAGCGCATCTTATAAAAAATTCATTTTTAAGCATATTTTATTCTATAGAAAGATCCTCCCATTAAAAAATAATTATTGAGCGCAGCACCATCTACTTATTGACCTATTTAAAATCAACTTATATCTAAAACTGAACCTCTCTTAGTGCTGTGTGAACTGGCATTTACAGAATTAAAATATCTCTATTACTTACCAAAATATCCAGCCTGGGAGTTTTTATTGGTACACCCTGTATATTATTGATATTAAAATAAAAAACGTATTTTCATTTTTCTTTGCGCAACTGGTGCCATAATGATTTGTTTCTAATTTTGACATATAAAGTGACACCTTTTGTAATCGTCAAAACGATTTACTTTATGAAAATAAATAAAATGCCTTTTTTTGGTTTTTAAATCGAAAAATCCAAAAATCGAACAATCAAAAAATTGAAAAAACGAAAAATCTAAAATTCGATAAATCGAAAAAATCTAAAAAATCTAAAAAATCGAAAAATCTAAAAATCAAAATATCAAAAAATTGAATAACCAAAAATCGACAAAATAAAGAAGCTAAAAATCGAAAAAGCGAAAAACCGGAAATATCGAAAAAAAAAAAAAACGAAAAATCTAAAATTAAAAAAATCGAAAAAATCGAAAAAATTTAAACAATCTAAACAATCGAAAAAACCAAAAACCGAAAAATCTAAAAATAATAAAATCAAAAAATCGAAAAACCAAAAATCGAAAAAACCAAAAATCGAAAAACCGAAAATTTAAAAATCAAAAATCTAAAAAACAAAAATGAAGAAAAGGGGATAAATAATGACATTTCACATTTGAAAATTTGACAATACGTTTATCAACAAACAAAAAAATAAAATCTGTAAATTACGTTTTATTTTTTAAATATCAAAATATCAATAAATCGGATAACCAAAAAACAAAAAAATCAAAAATACAAAGAAGCTAAAATTAAAAAAATCCAAAAACAGAAAAATCAAAAAATCCTAAATCAAAAAACCAAAATTGAAAAACGAAGCTAAAACCGAAAAATATCGAAAAAACCAAAAATCAAAAAAACCAAAAATCGAAAAAACAAAAAAATCAAAAAATCAAAAATCGAAAAACGAAGAAGCTAAAATTTGAAAAATCGAAAAAATCGAAAAAAATTGAAAAACCAAAAATCTAAAAATCGAAAAAACCGAAAATCGAAAAACCGAAAATCGAAAAATCAAAAAAATCGAAAAAACAAAAATGTAGAAAAGGGGATAAATATTTGAAAATTTCACAATACGTTTATAAAAAAAAAAAAAAAAAAAAAACAAAATAAAAGCTGTAAATTACGTTTTATTTTTTAAATAATTAAACACCGATATTGAAAACTGCCCAGAAATGTTGAGGGTGAAATTTTGACATACTCCTCTGAGGATAACGGATAAAAACGGGTTTTCTTCCAAATTTCTTGCGGGTAATGTCAAAAATTAGATCGGCAACACTGCACATGTCCCTTATTTTTATTGTTACTAATACAACAATTTTCTGAAATATTTGTTTGGAAGTACATGCTGAATCATTTTTTAACCAAACACAATTTTATAAATAATCATGTCAAAATTAGAAAAAATCTTGTGTGTAACACGTTACATAAATAGCTATTCTATAAACAACTTCTTAAAAGCTTAATTTAAAAGATTTTTCTGTGCAGCTTGGAGTTTGTTCTTAATGGCAACCGTTTCATACTTAAAATATTACGAATTGTTTAAAAGGAAGTTCCATATATCTAAAGGAATAAAGGTGGAGGAATTAAATTAGTGGTGACTATACAGAATAGTAGAGTCTGATCGGATAGAGAATAGCTTGATATAAGCCAGTGCGAAACAAAAGTATACAAGTACAAAAATTTAAAGGCCTACCATAAGGGCCCCAAATATATTAGCGGGGAGCGTAAGTGGAAGTGAGGTGGAAGTCGTACGTACCGTCCCCAGACCATATACTGTTCAGTCAAATACTTCACAATAATTCACCCCACTGTAGATTAGCGAATCGACGCGTTACCAAGGTAACGTCAAACAACAAAGCAAATAAATCGACGGCGCATCGTGACGTACATACTTTACTCTATCCGAGTAGATTTTAGCCAATTTTTAATTCCTGTTTGTTATTTTTGTCTTTTACATTTTTTAAGTTTCGGCTAATCCATAGATATTTCGAAGGCAAAGACTACTGAATTTATGCAGAAAATTTTTACATTTTATGAGTTCTTCCATTAAGCAGAACTTTCTTTTAAGAATGATCAGTTTTCCCTTGAAACAATTTCTATTTTATGCATTACAAACAATTTCGCTTCATGTTGCTTAAAATATTTCACCAATTTCATAAATTTTATCATAAAATTATATCAAATTAATAGACAAATCTAAAATCTAATCCAACTAAACTAAATACAAAGGAATGTAAATTTGTTATTAGTAAAACAGCATTTGCACAGTGAATCCCCAGCACCACTGTTAAAATTAAACTTTATACACTTTACCTTGTAAAAGTCGTCACCGTCCCGGTTTGAGTTGGTCCATTCCCAAGCAGTCTTTCGGCTCCAGGATTTGTGGGCGTCGTTGTTCCCGAGACAAAACTAAAAGCTTTCTTGAACCCATCTAGGAGGCCTGTGCCGGTACCAACCGGTTCGGAGCCGGCCGGCACGACCGTGGTGGACCGATAAACGGCGTTTGAACCGGTCAGGGAACGGTAAGTGCCCGTCAGGCTGCCGATGGGCATTTCGCTACCCGGCTGGTATATCATCATCACATCAAAATAGCATTCGACAGTCGAAACGATCATCTCATAATTTGTATTGTTTTAAATTTAATTAAATAAAAACTAAAGTTAAATATTAACCTATATCGTTTTAATTTTTAAATATTTGTTGCTTATCAAAATTTAACTAAAGAGTAAAGGTTGCGCATACATACGAATCCTTGACTAGTGATCAACGTTAGCTCGGCACAAAAACAATATGGAGACAATGTCTTGTCAACAAAAAAAAATAATAATTATAGTCGTAAAGGACATAGACAAGACACGGCATAGCCCAGGTTTTTCTGGTGTATAGGGCATAGAAAACTCCGACAGGAGATGCATGCAAAATATACTGCAGACCATAAAAAGAAGCAAGGCATCATGGAATACTGTGACCATAAACATTTTTTGAAAAGAACGGGACGAACGAGTAGTGCAACGACATGAAGACTAAAAGTAAAGGTATGCCCTGCACTATAAGAGCAGAAGCGCAATCGAAAAACAGGAACAAGAGGTTGTTTTTAGCCCATAAAAGAGGATGTGTATGCTTACTGGAAGAGTCCGCACGTCTTGGCTACCTTCTCAGATGTCAATTGATTATTTTTCTCCTTCACAAAAATAAACCGTAGAGGGCGATGAATACAAAAAAACAGAAAAACTGAAGAATTATGTTAATATTATTGACAGCTGGTTGACGAGCTTCATCGATTTAGAAGAATGCACAATGGGTCTAGTGAGGCTTAAGTGAGAGCAACCGATCTTCTCCAACTTACAGATACAGAATGAATGGTCGCCACTTAATCCATATTTTAATCAATAGGTGATTCACGTAATATCCTATTTCTTGCTAGTATCTATCATTCTTAAGAGATTGTCAATATTTAGATGAAGACAGCATTGTGGTTGATCGCAATTTAATGAGCATCTACCTTTTAAGCTGCCATTTACTTAATATCTCAAACAGTCATCAAATGAAAGCTAAATATGTAAACAATTTTCCGTCAATTTTATGACGAAGCTGTGTCATGTAGTTGGGCGCTGCCTGCTAACGAATGTTTTCCAACAAAAAACACAAGTAGACAAAGGGGTGTAGTGATGGTGCGAGACTGGTCTTGGTGTTACTACAGTCTTGCTTTTGGTCTTACAAAACTCTCGCAGTTTTCCAACTATACAGGGTGTTCCTAAACATCGTGCACATAGAGAAGGGGATAATTTCATGACTAAAAGTTCATATAAACATAGGTCCGGAAACGCTTAGTTACCAATCTACGGGGTGTTGAAATTTCAAGACTTTTCTTGTTTTTTCTTTAGAGCTCCTGCAGTTTTTGAGATATTTAGCTTAATTTTGGAATCTAAATTGTGTTATATGGCATACATTATTAATTATGTCAGATGGTTGTTGAATCTACAGGGTGATATTTTTTTAGGAGCCATGTTCCCTGTTCTCCCTCTCACTGTGGAAAACAAGTGAGAAAACAAGGTCAACAAAGAGAAAATATTATTTGAGCAATGGTATAAAAACGGCTATTACGCTTTTTACATCGACAGTTGCTCAAAGTCTTACAACAAGAAAATGACAGCCTTGGTCTAGCTTTTAAACATCTCTAAACGGTTGCATATACAGATTAGATACTATCACACTAGTATAATGGAGGAAAAGAAGAACTGAGTGAGAATTGCTGACTGCACGGTCTACTAGTTGTAACTAGGTGAGGATTCGGCCACTTGAATTCGTTAGAGAATATTAAACTGTCGAAAACATTTTGTGATCCATCATAGCCAAAGACGTTAAATGAGTGGCAACCTTATACTTCTTTTTATTTGATTTCAACAACATTTTTGCAAATAGAAATAATGTTTGCGGATGGTATCTTATTAATAAAGTAGTATTAAGAATAAACAAATATTGCTAGGTTTATTGAGAACTGTAGTGACAAAATACTTTTGTATTTTTTTTAATTAAAATATTTTAGAATTCCTTGAAAATTAAGACTTTTTAATATTCCGGTATACATCAACATTTTTTATGTAAAGCAATATTGTCAGTATAGACATTTTTTTCATAATTTTTATACTTTATTAAGATGATTATACTCATGTAAATCATTGTAAGATGTAAATTTCTAATCACTTGTTTTAAATGTAGATGTAATTAACAAAAGCTCTAGATGTAGTAGTCACGTGGTAGAATTTATATATTATTTGGCACTATACACAGGTCTGCGCAAGCTCATTCTGCACAAAAATATATACTGAGCGAAATAAAATATTTGCTACATCTCAAATGAGAAATAAAAAATGCGTGGGATGTGCTATGCCGCGGAAAAGTTGCCTTAGGTGTATAATAGCATAAAAAAATTATCAAAATTGGACAATAGTAAGGAAACAGCTCATTGCAATGGTCTTTCAATTTATCGACTACGGTACCGCCGGTGTCTACGGCGTCGCATTCATTTGCAAGCCAATTTTCTGGTGAAACTAGACACGGTTTCAGATCCTACGGAAGACCATGTGAATTTATTTGCATGGTTCTCTATAGGATTTGATGGATGCCGTATTAGCAGAAATTTCATTTCTGTTGATATGACATCCAGATTGTTAAAAATCACTATACGTTATTCTTTTCGATGATGGTGGGTGGGGTTTTCCTCACCTGTAAGTCAAATGGTACCATCAATCATCTTTAAGTCGCCCCGAAGCGCCACGGCAAATATATATTATAGCCGTCCCTTTCCCCGGTCAAGCTCAGCATTTGGGGTTAAAATTCGCTCGTAAGGGGTGAATTAGGGAGAGTATTATTATTATTATTATTATTTGTAGATTAGCACTACTTTTCCATCCGGTATTGGTATTATTATTATTAACGTGACAGCTAACGGCATCAAGATGTTGAAATTTCTTCTTCAGTTAAGTACGATACAATAATTGATGCAATGGCCTTAGGATGTTTTTGAAACACATGGCCCAAATAAATAGAACCAGGTTCTTGAATGACGGAATAGTGTTCAACTTTTTTCTTCGACAAAACTGCTTTGAATAAATTTTTTCGACAATTACAGTATTGTCTTTTCTACCATCCAAATAAATAGCTCGTACTTACGTTATTTGAATCCTGTTTACTCTTTTTGCATGTAAATTACTCCTAGTTTCACTCCTTCCACTTCTTTTTTTATAACGATTGGCTACTTTGGAAGTATCTGTTTCTGTTACCAACCCAATATTTTATAGAATACTCGCGGCAGCTGCATCAGATACTCCGTAGCAATGTAATGCCGTAGTTTTAAGCTTGGTCTTCATTTGCCATGGTGACTTATTTAACGAGGTGCTAGGCTTGTATTGATTTAAATCATAATCGTCATAGAATTCAGCCTACCACCTCGATAAATAAGAAATTGCTTTGGCAAATGAGGATCAAGCTTAAAACAACGACATTTCATTGCAAAGGAGCATCTGATCAGGATTGGTAACAGAAACAGATACTTCCAAAGTAGTCGATCGGTATAAAATAAGAAGGGAAACGAGCTATTTATTTGGATTGTAGAAAAGACATTAGTTTCGTCGAACAAAAAAAGATGAACAGTATTCGATCAGTCAAGAACCTTTCCATCATCTGTTTCAATATTTAGGTAGGGTAACAACTGACCCAAGATCATTTAGTAGACTGATGACTGATTGGACTGAATTACGAAAAAATGATAAATTTGCAAATTTTAAAAATAATCAGACGTCTTGCGCGATCGGAAAATATGCTTTAAAATCAGTGATATTTTTTTTTTGTAGGATATTTAATATTAATACTAACTTTTAGGCACTTTAGCGCTAAAAAATACAAACCCCAAATAAAAAAAAATATTAAAAAACTGTAAAATTCGTCATTTTCTTAAAACTTTTGTCGTTTTGAGCGAATGGAAGATATTTTCCGATTTAAATAATTTCTGTTTTGTTATTCTAGTATACATCTAAGGCAACTTTTCCATGTTATAGCGAATCGAAAATAATAATTTGACATTTTTCCCACTACTCTAGCGCATAATCATACAATTTTCTTTTATAATTTGGTTGGTAAACATTTAGTTTTTGTCTGATCTCTTATTTTATTTACCCTTTTCTAATTTATTTAAAAAATAAGTACTGTTTGTTTACTAAAGCATTTCTTATACATTCCAACGACATATTTTTAAATAGTTTCATTTATTTATACGGGTTTAAAATGTACTATTATGAATTGAATACATTATTCTTTATACTTTCCTACAAAATATTTCTAAAACGTTTATACGGGTTTAAATTAATTTATCGCTATTATATTGAATTAACATCCCACCAAACTAAAGAACAATATCCATCATTGTTTTGAGTATATCTTCTAAACTATTTTGACCCAGTAAAAAATATGGTTGACAAAGTAATTTGTACCAAAAAACATACTATATTTTTTGTTGGATTACTTGAACATTTTGGCATTAGTAAAATTTTATTCAGAAATCTACAATACTATTTTTTGTAACAATACATTTTATGAAATGATTCGAATCTTAAAAATACATCAAGCAAGTAGATCTAATTTTAAAACATCTTGCAGTGCTTTTTTTGTCAAACTGTCACCTGGGAGAATTAACATAAACATGTCATTTATGACGAAATAGTTTAAGTTGCTTATGAGGGAATTTTGTAAATCAAAAAATTAACTGTGAATATGCGGTAGCAAATATAGCCGATAACATATTTATCTAAATATTATCAAAGTGAAATATTTTATCAGCTTTTAAAAGTTCCGGTTTAGGTAGGTCGTGGTTTGACCAGTTAATCTTGTTCACTCGAATAAAGAAAATAGAAAAATAAAAATTATTAGACAATGTTATTCGTAGTTGATGAAATATTCTTTTGGGAAAACTGGCTAAATCCCAGGAAATGGAAAAATAGGATTTGTGTGTCATGTGGAAAATATGTTGGTAGAATACACGATTTTCAATATGAACAACGTAACAATA